GGCCCCAGCGCGTTGCGCCGCAGCACGAGGCTGTGCAGCTGCGGGAGGCCCTGAGCCAGGCCCGGGCCCGGCTCGCGCAGGCTGCCGCAGCCGCTCACCTCCAGGTAGTGCAGCAGCGGCAGCGTGAAGAGCCGCGGCGGCAGCCGCCCGCCCGCCGCGCGCACCCGCTGCTCCAGCCCGGGCCCGGTCAGCAGCAGCTCCCGCCGCCGCTCCCGCTCCGCCAGCTCCAGCTCCGGCCAGGCCTCCGACACCGCCGCAGCAGCCATCGCGCCGCCACTCCCGCAGCCCCTGCCGGGGCGCTTCCGGGGCACGCGGCGCCACTTCCGGTATGGGCCGGAAGGAGTCGTCGAGAGCTGCGCGGACGCTAGAGCGCCGCAGCGAGGGCCATAGAGGAGCCCGGTGGGCCGTGGCACGATGCCGTCGCTGGCGGGTTTGGGGTCCTCACCCGTGGGCGTGTGGGTGGGTTCCCGGAGCGCCCAGGCCCACGTAGGGCCGTGAGTGCTGGGCCTCCGGCCGAGTCTTCCTGCCCGCGAGGATGTCGGGGAGCAGCGGGGACGACCCCTCACGCCGTGCTCGGCCGAGCCCCTAAGACAAGGCCGGAGAGCGAGTCAGGGACGCGTCCGGCTCACGGACCTGAGGGAGATTCCCGGGAACGTGGTGACTCCCAGGTGGCCTAGAATTCAGGCTAAACGCCGTCTGAAGGGGAAGGGGGAGGAGATGAGTGGTTCTTAGGGGAGATGAACGGTCCCTAAGAGGACAGACGGGCGGAAGGACCGTGTGACAACAGGTGTCTTATCACTTCTAGTCCCTCTGGGGATGAGCCCGTCTTCCCTGGACGGTGCGCTCCCGGGAGGGGATCTCTGACACTGAGTTCCTTTGGGAGGATGTGTTTAGGCAGAAGGGGAGTTCAGACAAACCTCTCCCTGCGTTTACTGATTTCCAAGAGCACACAGCTCAGAATAGTCAGTATACCGAGGTGGTACATTTCGGGGTGGTATGATCCGAACTCCTACTCATATTTCGGGGTGGCATCGTCTGCTACCCTTCAAAAACCTAACCAAGCTCCTCTTCGTAATTTCCCATCCGCTGGCTCCCTCTCCCTGCCCTGTGGCTATAACCCCCCAGCCCCCCTGTATTCAGAGTTGAGTTTACTGTCCCCTGCTGCAATCTTGCATTAAGTCTTCCTTGCTGGTTTTTAACAAGCATGCAGTGCACTTTTTTTCTTTTTTCTTTCTTTTAGAGGTTAGTGATTTGTGTATTGGAATCACCAGGAAGTTATAAGTGACTGATGCCCCAGTCCCTGGTCCAGAGGTTCTGGCCTAACAGGCTGGACTGCAGCACGGGCATGGGGGTTTTACAAGCTCCCCGCGTGTTCTGTTGGGTACGCAAGGTTGAGAGACTGCTAGGGATCAGATCGTTTCCATGTGTTAGGACGCACTAATCAGGGCTCTTTGGAGGAGGAGGGTGGGAGGAATAGTGCTGAGGTCGGCTGTCCTGTTCTCTGCCCCTGTTTGTAACTCCTCACCCCAGCAGCCTTTTCAGTTTTATTTTGTTTTGAAATTGCTGAACATTGTATTGAAGGGTGATGTACATCCAGCAAAGTGTGCACATAGCGTAAGTGAATTTTGTCCAGACTGAACACATCCGTGTAGCCATCACGTAGAACAAGAAACCAGTGGTCACCAGTCCCCCCAGACCCCCCTTGTGCCCCGATATTGTAGTTTTGCCGGTTTTTGCCCTTCGTGTATAAGGTGCAGGGCCGGCTCTCGGTGCCTGGCCTCTTTCGCCCCATGTCATGCCTCTGGGAGTCATTGTGTGTGGGAGGTACTTGCGGGTTGTTTGCTGTCTGGCATTATAAGTGCGTTGTGACTGTACCATGTTTATTTCTAGCAGGGCCTTTGTGCTACCCTGACTCTGCCCCCGTCAGCCCCAATGACCCCACACAGGAAAGACAGACTTTTGTCTCGGTTGCTGTTGTGACCGATTCCATCTGTGAAGGGCAGGCAGTGACTGTCCCCAGGCAAGGCCGGGAGAGGTGAGAATGGGCCCCTAGGACCTCTTACACCTGTGCCTTCTGAGCCGGCTTCCGCTGCCCACTGCGTGCTGCTGGGTCTCCTCAGTGATTTCTTGGAAGGTTGTACACAAATGCATCATATCAGTGGCTTTTGGTTCCTGGGACCTGGGTGTTGTCTTGCTTGCTTAGTTTCTTGTGGTAGATTTCTGGGCCACTGTCCAGCAGCTCATGCTAACACACATCATCTTGACAGGCTATGAGAGTAGTAATAGTTTTACAGTAGCCAACGCTGGAAACAACCAATGACCGTCAACAGGAGAATGGATAAATAAGTTGTGAGACGTTTCTTCACGTGGATGACCACGTGGAGACCGTGTCTGAGCTGCACACAGCAGCATGAATGATGGTCAGGGTCGTGATGCGGAGGGAGGAAAGCAAATCACAGCGGGATACACGCGGTATGATGCCACGTGCACAGCATAAAGATATGTCAAACTCAAGATTCTTTTGTCTAGGGATACATGCCTGTGCAGTGTCTGTGAAGACAGCCGAGGTTGGTACTGCAGACAATGCAGCCAGACCCCAGTGCCACCGCCGTCTCTTCTCCAGCTGCGCCGAGCTGCTTGGTCAGCCTGCAGGGTGCAGCCGGTGCATCCAGACCGCCTCTCCATCCCCTTCCCTGCCCCAGTCTCAGTCCCCATCGCTGTCCCCGCCCCGGTCCCTGACCATGTCTCCACCCGGCTGAGGCTGGGAGCTGGAGGCCCTGGACACCTGGCAGGGCTTGCCCTCCTGCCACTGTCCCAGCCTCCCAGGTAATTTGATTTAGGATCCCTGAATTTGGTAAACAGCACTCCCAAGCGTTGTCTCCTTACCCCGTGGGGGAGAGAGATCTCCATCTAGAACCCTAGCAGTGGTTCCAGCAACGCCTCCCACCTTCAGCAGGACGCTGCTCCCCTCCATTGCCAGGACTGGTCCCGGGACACCGGGAGGCACCAAGAAGGGGTGGCCAGGTGACCGGTGTGGAGGCGGCGCTAGGACACACCTTCAGGACGAAGGCCGTGAAAGGGGGCTTTAGGGATGAGCTAGGCCCCGAGATGCCTGCTCACAAGGGCACCCACCCTGCTGCTCAGTCTGACCTCACTGTCTTACCGGCTTTCCCTGCTGGGACATCTCTTGATGGGGAGGGGCCGCACGCCTCCCCTGCACTTGAGAACTCAGAGACTGGGGGTGGGGAGGGGGGTGGTGGTGCCCTTCCTCCTGCGGCTGGCTCCGCCC